AAAACATTAAACAAGAATAACTCAACAACAAATAATCAAATTCAATAAAAAAATTTTAATAGTTTTTTATACGTACTGGTATTATTTTGAATTTCAGCATAAATTATGTCTAATTCAGGCCAAATTTCAAAAATACACACTGTGCGTTATTTCACAGTTATACAGTATTAAGCATCAATGCCAAATTTGTTTTAAAATACCATTGTAATTTTTTTATAAAATTTATATGATCTATATAAATCTATATCAGCGATTCTAAAGGATTAAAAAGTAAAACATCATGGCAGTTCATCTCGTGCAATATAATTTTTTATACTGGAAAGTCTATTAACTGATTATACTGTATGAATCAATTTATCTTCATTATAAACAAGTTAATATTTTTTTATGCATTCTAAAATTTTAGTTTACAACCCTGTATATAGTATAAAATTTATTTAAGCAAAATATGTCATAAACCAGTTTTGATAATACTGTTTAAAAAATTTTTCCTTATCAATATTCTCATATTCATAAACTTTTGACAAATATTTTGGCAATTTATACAACACGGTCATAATCTAAATATAGAAAAAATCTATGTAGTATGTACCGATTAAATCTAGCTCTGAGACACATCTATTTGTTTGATCGTTATTTAAAAAAAGTAAGTTCTAATAGTTTTAAAATCAATTTTGATCATAAATTTGATCACAATGAGTAGCAAAATTAAGGTCTGCAAACTAAGAAATGTTTTTATAACAGATAAAAATTATGAATATTATCAATATCAACATTTTACAACTCTTCGTTTATTAATTAATCCAAATGCAACTTTTTCTAACTAACCAAAAGAAGTTCATGATGAATTAATAAAAATAAAAAATGACAAAAATTATGGAGATAATTTTTTAGTGGCAGCTCAGAGATATATTAATAAAGGTACAAATTTTATTTATTATTTTATTATTTATTAAGAGGTGATTGATGAGTAATTTTTTATTGTTAATAGAAGTAAAAAGTTCAATGAATAGATCATTAATTAATCAAAATTGCTCCCAGTCTTTAATAAGAACAATGAGCAATTCAATGGATAAATCACAAGATTGTTTTCGGTCTTTAGTGAACATTCTTATTTATAGCTTTATTTATATACCTGTGAGCCTAAAGCTGCTACAATTATCTGGCCTTTATAGAGTTTAGAAACCCAATCTAGAAGACTCTCTACAACTGAAGAAAATATTCTTGTTAATAATAACAATTAGTCAAATAATTTTCAATATGAAAACTCATTAATCTTAGGTTCCTCCTCAGTTATTCTACTTTCATCTTTTTCAAAAAGAGATGTTAGTACTTTAGTTGATCAACATGTAGTTTCAATATATCCAAATAGCAAAAGTTAGCACTTAACAAATGAAAATGAATCAAATTCAATCTAGCAACAAAACCAAGAAGTTAATATAATAACTTGTAATAGCAATAGGAAATGGAAAAATATATTAAAAAACAATTGGCTTTCTATTACTGTTCTTGTTTTTTTAACAATTATGTGTATGATTCTTACATGGGTAATGAATTGATTATTTACTTTGTTAGTTGGTACTATTAAAAATTTTTATTAAAGATCTTTTTAAATAGAATAATATTAACACTGTCAATAGAGTCTTGCCAAATCATATTGACATTGTCAATAGAGTCTGGCACATAAGTATATTCTAATAAAATTTCTTATTATTTAATTATAATAAATTATACTTACTATTTATTACATAACTAGATATATAATAAATTATCTAAAATACTTGGTAATACACTTTCCACACAAGTTATAAGTATTTGTAAAATTTTATTAATTCTAAAACAATTATAACAATTTAAATAAATATAAATTATATAAATTGAAACAATAAAACAACTTGGAATTAAAGATAGAGGAATCGAAGCTGATTATAAAAATCTCAAAAACAATTTAATGATTACTAAAAAAGATCTTAAAACTGCCCAGGAGAATAATATCAACCTTCAAGCTAAACTCAATACTAACAAACAAGAGATTAAATCTGCCATTGAAATCAATACTGAACTTCAAAAACAACTCTCAGTAAAGGAACAAGAGCTTATATCTAAGAAAGAAAAAAATAATTATTTTCAATCAAATCTTGAAAATACCCAACAAGAACTTAAAACTGCCAAAGACAGTAATACCAACTTTACAATAATGCTCGCCAGGACTAAAAACAACCTTAATACTTTCAAAAAAAGTCTTGTTGTTTTGGATAAAGATAATAAAGAATTACTAAAAAAAACTTAAAATCCTCAATGAAAAAATTAAATCTCTTGAAAATGAAGTTAAAATATTAGAAAAACAAAGAATAAAAGGTGAAGAAAGAAGAAAAACACTTGAGAAATTGATGTCTGCTTATGAAAAACTACTAAAAGACTATAAAAAATTAAAAAATGAAAAAATGAAGAAGAAATGAAGGAACATCAAGATTTATTGGAACAAGTAAAAGAATCTTTAAAAAATGTTATTAAAAAATATTAATTTTACTTAGTATTTTTATTTTTATTTTTTTTGTTGTTTAAGGTGACCTCTATGGCCGGGGGGCTTTTTATTAGATAATTAACAACATTACAATTATGATG